TTAGTGTCCCGGCCAATCAGATCATCTGTATCTTCACATTTCTGTGCTTCCTCTAGTGCAGCCTTTTCAAGGTCGCAGTCGATTTGCTGAGTAGATCTACGTTTGAGAGTAGCAACTTGTAGTATTTTTGATGTAGCTAATGTAACTGCAAATTAATTGGTTGTTTTTACGATGACTTACTAGTTCTGGCATATTGTTTGCCTTTCGCATAGAGGCTTTTGCAGATCCCATGGTCTGCTGTCCATTAGCAAGATTTGCTCTAAACTTGTAACATAAATTGTGTATCCAAGGAAGCTAAGCACTTATCACCTGTTTGTATTGTGGAAATCTAGGGTAGCATTTCTGAGCGCGTCGTTCGAATCATTATCCGGACAAATCGTATTAGGTGCCGATGCTGCAGCTTTTCGTTAATTCATTTGGCTAGCTGAAAAACACAAAACCTGCAGTTGTGGTGGTCGTTCCTTGTGTGGTTAGCACGGGGCATGTCGTTCCAAACTCTTCCTCATCTGCCGGGCTATTACCAGTAGAATCCTGTGCTTTGACCACCAAAAGCACAGCGAAGAAAATCTACAAATGTGTTCTCACAATCCTAACAAAAGCAAGAAATATACAAGAGGCACTTACAGCTAGATATTCAAAAATCGAACGCATTTCGCCGATATGGACGTCTCTGCGCACCTCTATTTATACGCAAGTAGGGCGACCGAATTATCATCGTCATGTGACCTGCGGCAGTTTTTCAGCTTCAACTCTTTTATGTTAAAGCTTCTAAACTGAAAATTAACACCAATATTGGGTGACATTTCTCATGACTTCGACGTGTCAAACAGCTCTTTCATAAATTGGACGTTTTGTTAAGGACGAACTTCGAAATTATTAGTTTGGAAACGGTAGAAGAATACGCAAAAACTGAGTACGTGGATGAGCTACGTGAATGTTTGATTTTTCGATAGCCACTTCCTCGCTCGGAATGGACATTTAATTCACTAACATAGCCATTGGCAAATTCTTACGTTCATGGTAATGTTGAGTCCTTGAAAACCAAGTGTATAACTAAGCAAATTCAAGGTCATAGTGGACTAGTAAGACCAATTGATTTTTATCCCAAAATCTCACAGATAGTCCTCCCATCAGATAAGTCCGCCTACAGATAAG